TTAATACGGGCTCTGAAAAGGGGGGAAAAATACAACAGACACAGATGTTAGAGGGGACTGTGTTACCATCAAGTTGGCAGTCATATAAAACTGGAGAAAATAAACTCAGAAGTGTTAACTTTATTAATAGAGACATTTATGTAATTCTAAACTTAAAAAAGGCACATAGACAGATTTCATAAATTTCCTGATATATGTATGCAAGAGGCTAGTTTAGAGTCATGGATGGATTATAATGACACAGTCAGAAAATTATTTGAACAACTGATATATTGGGAGAAGTGAACATTTATTTAAGCTGCATCAACAGAGATCCGTTTTAGTTTAGTGACGACTGTCTGGACACCTCAGATTTCTAATAAGTAGACAGGTGCAGGACCAGCATGCACATGGGAAGGTCTCAGCTTTGTTCACTGAATGTTGCAAATATCACTGCAGGTGTGCTGTGGGAGTGAGACCCTGCCAGATGTGCATGCTGACTGTTTCATCTGTAAATAATCATCTCATTTATAACAGCACTCACCAACAACAAGCTCAATGCGAAATGTTTTGTCACTGGACTGGATTGGAAAACTGCAGGTATAGATTCCTCTGTCTTCCAGCCTAGTTTTTTTCATTTTTATGGAGGCGTTGCCATTTTGTAGCTCTTCTGGAAAATGTAAGACTCGACCTTTGAACTCCTCATCTTGACCTCTACTATATGTGCCGGCATCATACATGAAGACCTCCTTTCGAGGAACTGTTCCCTCTTTCTTCCAGACAAACAGCATTTTCTCAATGTTCTCATTGGTGTTGAGGGAACAGGGTAAAATTACATCATCATCTTCTTTCACAGTCACTCTGGTCACAGGTGTCCCTGAAAGATAACACATAAATTAAACAGTGTATTCACATACAGAGTGATGAGGATGGAGGAAAAGTCAGATATGAGAGAGGGGCAGCAAATCAGAAGAAAGTTCACTCTGATTTTCATCAATTATGAACATCTTTATTTTTTTCCCAACAAAAATCCTTTTAGTTTACTTCATCTTCACATTTTTCCCATTATCATCATGGTCTCACCGGTAGCCCCTCAGTGTGAGAGTGGCTGGTTTAAATGGAGGCTGAAGGAGCTGAAGAGCTTGTTTCAGAGAGGATGAGCTCAGAAGCTGCACCAAGGCCCAGTCTGAGATAAACAAGGATCATTGTGAACTGTGAATCCTGCTAAACTGTTCCAGTCATGTCCAAGAATAAAATATGGAGCTGAGAATGAGTATAGCTCAACTTTACTTCATGTATTACATTCTTGTAAAATGAACAAGGTCCATTAGACAGTAGAATGTAGAATTATCCTGTTATCTTTAAATAGAAATATAAGAATATTCTTAATGATTTTCTAATCTCAAAAATTCTGAATCCTCAGTTTTTTAACTGTAACAGTTATCTATAATAGTTTGCCAACTGACTACAGCCCTTATAGTGCAATAAGGTTTTATTTATTACACTGACTCACTGTGTGAGTCACAGTGAGTCAGTGAGCCCCCCCCCCATCCTCTGTATTTCTGTCTTTCTGTTTTTGGCCACAATCACAAAGTTCAATACATATGTGCCCTCTCCATCTTCCTGGATTATCTTTAGGTCCAAGCACCTGTTTTTGATACTTGGATTCATGAAGAAACACTCCTCAGCCAACCTCCTGGCATTTACTTTGCTAATGATCATTATGGCAGCTGTTAGCACGTGAGTGCAGCATTTGTGTTGTTTTTAGACTTTTAAATTATGCCTAAATTAGCAAAAAATAGTCATTTAATGTGGGTTTAAGACCCCACAAACCATCATGTTATCTCTTAATATCTATCATACAAAGGACAATAGTTCCTCAGACCCAGACAACTAGACAAATGGGTATTACTACAAGACTGAAAAAATGTGTGCAGGGGTGACAGAGGTGAAGAGTAGAGTGAACAAACAAGAGATTCTCAGAAACAGATGCGCATATACAGGACACGCTGCACGCATTACCTTAACAGGGTAGAACTTGACTTGGTCGTTCAAAAGTGATTAAAAAAAAATACAATTTAAATTAAACTACTACAGTTACCACAAAGCTACAGTGAAAGATTGCAAAAACTTTCTGACTTAGTGCAAAGATTTTCACATTTGTTTTTAAGGGGAAGTTGAACACAGGTGTAGAACTTGATCTTAATATTGTGGGCTCATTAAAAGTTGTTTAGCAAGATAAAAGCAGTTTTTTCAATATCTTATCATTTACCAGGTCACCAGTGAGCTAGCTATTTTCCACAAATTTGATCTTCACTTTCACTGTTTTGCTGATGACACCCAGTTATATCTCTCCTGCAGACCTGATTCCTCCCTCCCACCTTCCTCCCTTACAGAATGTCTATCAGAATTAAAATCTTGGTTCAGCTCTAATTTTCTAAAGCTCAATCCGGATAAAACTGAAATCCTCCTTTAACCTTTTGAAGGTGAACCATTTCTCACTCACTATCGATGACTTCACAGTTTTCCCTTCTCCTCAGGTTAAGAGCCTTGGTGTCATCCTAGACAGTTCACTTTCCTATAAATCTCACATCAATAATCTCACCCGTTCTGCCTACTTCCATCTACGCAACATTAACAGATTAGATCCCTCTCTTTCCACCCAGTCTACGTCCATTCTTGTCCACAGTCTTGTTACCTCCCGTATTGACTACTGCAACTCTTTCTTTCATGGTCTCCCCCAAAAATCCCTCCATTTACACACATACACGCCTTTCAGGGAAAGGTCTAGACAGGCATATATGAGAGGGCAGATAGAAATATAAAGGCAGCCAATGGTGGCAACAGAGGAAGGAAAGGGGTGGGGTGATGGTGGTGGGGGGGCGCTCTAGATAAATGTTTTTGTAATGTAATTGGATTGCACTTTGTCTCTACCCTAAGACCTGGCCAACTTAGCTCTTAGTGTCACTGAGGCATGCAAACCCCCTGACCATGTTAAGGTGGAAATTCCTTAGGGGGAAAACTGAAAAATAAAACAACCATAATTGAAATAAAATCTTCCTCATCAGATCATAACGACTGAAAACACGAGATTTACCTTAATTGGATGGCCTAAATCAAATATAACAATTGCCAGTATTAACAAAACTAAGAACGGTTCACATCGTGATTAAAAAAAAAATTCACCATGACATTGCCTACAATTCTCTAATTAATATGTAGAACAGAACATTTGAACTTTTCTTCTTTTTTGTCTTGTTTTAAGCTTGTTTTGTCCACAACAAGTCTCCTGTTTCCCTTTCCAAAAACTCTTACAGATTCATCCATGGGGCATGGGGCAAGATCAGCAAATTCCTCTTCCTTTTATGCAACAAAAGTGAACAAACTTTACAAAAATCGTTGAGATTACATCAGTATAGAAAACGAGGAAACTGCTAAATGTGAATTTGAAAGTGGGCGGGGCTTTGTGTCGTGGACTGGTCCTCCAGTCGGCTCTGTGCAGCAGACAGGCTAACAGAAAGAAATTGTGAGAATGGACTAGTCTCCCATTGACTGTGCAAATACAGATGTATTTTTTAGTTGTTAATTATCTGACAAGTCGCTATGATTTTAACGACAGATTTTCCTTTTGCTCTGCCCTGAAAACCTGACACCGGCTCCTTTGCATACTAACAGTGATTGGCTGTTTAGCTAGGGAAAGGGGGAGTGCTGTGTGAGCCTGCACACTAACAGAGCGAACAAGAGGTGAAACCTATCATGTCTTTTGTGCCTTTTCCAGCGGATGCTTCATCTACTGTAGTGAATCATGCCCATATTCAGTTTTGGGGTAATCTTTTATTTTCTTTCGCAACTTCTAAAAGTTTGATTTTTATAGATGAATCACCTGAGGTTAAAAACACATCACCATGGAATAATGAATTTCTCTAATAAATGATCAGAAATAATAAAGATAATGCTTTCATTTCATTGTTGAAGATGCTGCACATTAATCTGCACTCTCATTTCAACACTAAAATGTGGCTAGGTTAAACGATGTCACACCTGAACAGCGTTAAAGCTAGATCGCTCATTCGAAAAGTGACTGCGCCTGCACACATGATCAGTCTAAATCAATGAGTTTCTTACCGGATTCAGCACCAAACGTCAGTCCGGACAAAGTCAGGAAACAGAAGCTCAGAAACAGAAGTGGTAGAAGCTCCATGTCTGCAGAAACCCTCTGAGGATCAAATACGGTCACTTTTCATTCAAACGAAGCTCAGAGACACTCCCCTCTTAGCGCACTGACGCAGTAAAAAACAAAACAAAAAACACTTTCAGTTTCCAGTCTCTTCGAGCAGTCAGTTATAACTGCACTTCCGGTATAATCTGCCACATCATGATCGACTTTAAGATTTAACTTGTTTAATAACAGTGACAGTTATACAGAAACGCTGACAGGAGAAAGATTATTGAGCCGAAATGTGTTAAAGGTTAGATAAGGACTGAGATAAAAAGGAGATGAACCCCTGCTATATTTGAACCAGGAGGGTCAAAATAAATCAGAATCAGAATCAGAAAGGTTTTATTGCCAAATGTTGAGCAGGTTTACAACATTAGGAAAATGCTGCGGTACTAATACAAAACATACTGTAAGACAACACTTAAATAAACATAAAAATAAAAATTAAAAGTGCTAAGCAGATTAATGTATACATGAATGCAGGTGATGATCAGTGCAAAAATGGAACAGATGCAGAGAGCACTATAAGGTCATTTGTTTGTGGTGGGAACAGTGTTATGGTTATTGTTCATGAGTCCAACAGCAGAGGGGAAGAAACTGTTCTTATGGCAAGAGGTTCTGGTGCGAATGGACCGGAGCCTCCTGCCTGAGGGGAGCAGGTCAAACAGACTGTGTCCAGGGTGAGAAGGGTCAGCTGTGATCAGAGCTGCACGCCCCAGTGTCCTGGAGGTGTACAGGTCCTGCAGAGATGGGAGTCTGCAGCCAATCACCTTCTCAGCAGAGCGCACAACATGCTGCAGTCTCTGTTTGTCCCTGATGCTGGCTCCAGCAAACCACACAGTGATGGAGGAGGTGAGGATGGACTCATAGAAATGTAGAATTGCATCATCGTCCGTGTTGGCAGGTTGAATTTCTTCAGCTGCCTCAGGAAGTACATCCTCTACTGGGCTTTCTTTATGACGGAGGTGATGGTGGGCTCCCACTTAAGGTCCTGGGTGATGGTGGTACCCAGGAAGCGGAATGAGTCCACAGAGGTAATGAGGGTGTCAGTCAGGATGATGGGGGGGGGAGTGGGGCTGTGTGCTTCCTGAAGTCCACAATAATCTCCACTGTCTTCTGGGCGTTCAGCACCAGGTTGTTGTGGCTGAACCAGGACGCACTGTTGATGACGACTGTGTGCTGTTATCTTTATACCAGGTGAGCGCTGTTAAGTAGAAGTTTTACTTGATGTTGTGCTATAAAAAATGACAAAGAATGATTTTTTTATAAGAGAAAAACTAATGTTTTTATATCTTCTTGTTTTTGTTCGTTAAGAAAAGGGTAGAAATATAGCTGTCATCTCTCAGTTACCATAAGGAGGAAAATAAATAAATAAATAAAAAGTTCAGAATTATTTTCCCTCAGAATTCTGGAAAAGAAAAAAAGA